CCTTCCCTTGCCTCAGTGCCCTTCCAGTTCCCCTGAGGCCCTGCCCTGCCTTGCCCCCTCTTCGCCCACCCCAGCCCAGCCATGCCCGGGGACGAGTGTGGATTACCTGTTGGAGGCCCTCTGTGTCCTGCCGCCTGGCCAGCAGTGCCTGCTGGTGTGTCCGGCCGTACCATGGGCCTGGCGCCTGAGGGGAGGTCACTGATGCCCAAAATAAAACCTGTCCCGTCCCTCTGACCTCAGCACCCGCGCTCTGGCTCAGCCCGCTCACGGAGAGCACCTGCCAGGGGCCACGCCGCTGCGTGGGCAGCCACCCTCCTCTGCTGGCCAAGCGGGGCCACTGCAGGTGCAGCCCTTGGGAGCCCCCGGGGCCCAGCATGGGGCAAGGGCAGCGGGCAGCTCCCTGGGTGCACGGGGCTTCCCAGGCCACGCTCCAGCAGGGCCTACAGACAGCCAGCTGCCCCAGACGCTATCCTGTGCGTGTCCCTGCCTCGGTGCTTGGGGAGGTCGTAGGGCTGTTGGCGGAGTGAGAGGAGCCCATCTGAGGAGGGAAGCATCCCCCACCTCAGGGGCGACAGCAGGGGGCAGCTCAAGGCTCACACAGCCCACTGGGCAGAGAGTGGGTACAAAGTGGCCGAGGGCCAGGGCTGCATGGGGCCCAACAAACCCTTGCCCACCAAGGACCTGGACTGGTGCAGGGGAGAACGTCGGGCCAGAGGGGCCCAGAGTTCCACCCAGGAGGGTAGGGACGTCCCCCCAGCTCCGGCCTCTGGGGCTCCCCACTGACGGCCCTTGGGGAGGTGGGCAGGGAGGGCCTCCACCTGCCTCCTCTGGCTAGGGACCCCGGGTACATCCCTGCCTCCCTAGGGTCCCTGGCCTTATCTCCAACTTGCAGGGGTCGGGTGGGTCCAGCAAAAGCCTTCCAAGGGCCTCTGAGGCCCGGGGTGGGCACAGAGTGGGGCAGGGCTGGGCATGCCAGCTCCCAGGCAGGTTCCCCTGCCACCCCTGCCACCAAGGTCTAGAGGGCAGCCGCCCCATCTGTCTCCCTGAGCCGGGGTCTGGAAGGAGGTGCCAGGCTGCTCTCACCCACTCCGTGCCTTGGTCTCCCTAATTCGAGGGGCAGGGCCATGGGGACCTGTGGCCTCACTGTGCCCGAAGAATGTGCCTGCTGTCGGAGCAAGATGTGTGCTAGCTGGACAGTGCCACCTGGAGTCCTGAAAAGAAAGGGGGACCCACAGACACGGGGCCAAGCCCACTGTGAGGGGCACACCGAGCCCGGCCGGGAGCTCTGGGCTGACGGCAGAGGGGTGGCCCCTGGCCTGGGAACGGGGCGTGCCAGGCCCAGCAGTCGCTTGTCCCTCTCACCTGGGGACTCCCCACATCTCAGTGGCCTGTGCCCAGAAGACCAGGTCAGGCCTGGCTGTGGCCTGCCTGCGAGGGGACCTCATTGAGGATTCGGGGTCCTCCACTCCACGGGGGTCTCCAAGCCCTGGCCACTTCCTCTGAGGGGCCGGTAGGTGGGCTGGGGCGCTGTGTCATGTGCACCCCACTGTCACCAGGAACAGAGGGGCACCTGGGCTGGGGACCCCTCACCTGGCTGGCCCCAGAACGCTTGTGTGTCCCCGTGGCCACCCAATCCCTTCCTTCGTCCTCCTCAACCGCTAAGAATGTGCCTGCTGTCGGGGCACAAAAATAGAAGCTGACACCTCCTGGGGGCGGAGGGCCCTTCTCAGCAGACTCGCCGTCCTCACCTCCTTGGGCCTCCTCCTGGGCTATTCCTATACTTGGTAAGGGACCCGCGTGGGCACGGCCCCGGCCACCCAGCCTTGGCCAATGGGCTGCTGGGAAAGATCAAATGTCACTATAACATAAGGGTGTGGGGCCGAGAGGGCAGCGCCCGAGCCGGTCCTGTCCACAGGGAGCTGCAGCCCTTTCTCCAGACTCAGCCAGGTGGGTATGGCCCGGTGCAGCGGCCGGGCTGGGCGGGGCCTGTGTGCTGGGGCCTGGGCAGCCGTGCCCCGGGCACCTTCTGGGGTCCCGGGTACGGGGGTGCCAGGCCTGCACGCCCCAGGAGTCTCAATTCTAAGCGTAGCGGCCGGGAGAACCACAGGGGCACACTGGGATGCCACCAGGCAGCGGAGGCCCGAGGAGGAAGGGAACCTTCTGGAAGGTCCTGGGTGAGAGGAGGGCCCTCAGGCTGGAGCTGGAGAGAGCTGAGGGATCGGAGACATAGTGGCCAAGACGGGCGCCTCCTGGTGCTCTGGCTCCGAGTGGCCGTGGCTCTAATGCCGCCATTTGTACAGACGACAACCAGGCGGGGTGTCCCGGCCACCAGGAGTGGCCGCCGGGCCGGGTGGCTGGGACCCAGGCAGCCAAGGACGGGAGCGGACAGGGCTGGGGGGGTGGGGAGCTGGGGGACGTGGTCAGGGCCATGGCAGTGAGTGGCAGGGCCTCCTGTGCCCCCCCTCACCGGCCCCCCCAGCTACATCTTGTCACCCGGAAGGGTGTGTGTCTCCCAAGAAATGCTGACCTCAGAGGCTGTTTCCACCCTCACCCTCGAGGGCAGGACCGCAGGGCCAGCTGGCCTCCTCTTCGGCCTTGGGCGCGCCATCCCCTGCCCCTCCTCGGCCCCTCCTCGATGGACAGGGCGGGGAGCGGCACGGGGCCGTCTGCGGGGTGCCCTTGCCACTTCACGAGGTGGAGGAGCAGGAGCCGGAGAGACTCAGTTTCCCACGTGGAGAGTGGGCCTTGCTGCCTCCGACACCCAGGAACCCTCAGGAGCTCTGGAGCCCTCCCCGGTGCCCCTGGGGTTCCCCCCAGAAGGACAGAGGAACTCAGGCGGCCTGGGAGACCTACGGGGACACGGAGCAGGGCAGGCCTGGCCAAGACCCGAGCGGGCAGCTGCCCCGCAGCCCCCCTCCCACCATCTTGTGTTTCTGGGCAGAGGCGTCTTGGCTGACCCTGGTGCCTATTTCTAGACCCTCAGCTGCCACTGGCTCCTTAAAAATAACCCGCGTCTGGGCCGGGGCTGTGCCCCCGCCTTCTGAAGGAGGCTGACAGGTGTTGGGTGCTGCCAGGCGAGAGGTGGGCACGGCAGGGCCAGGCCCCGGCTCCCCCTGACCCTCTCGAGAGTGGCCCCAGGGTCCAGGCTGGTGCGGGGGGGCTGTGGGGGCTCAGGAGCCGTGAGACCCCCCCCTCCCACCGAGGACGTGGCCGGAGGCTGGAACTGAGGGAGCAGCGGATTCCAGGAAGAGAGTTGGGGATGGGAAGGGCCTCCGCTGCCTGGAGGCTCTCGGAGCGGCTGCTTAATGATGCATGGCGCTGAAATTGCTCTGGGAAAAGCAACATTCTTGACCCAGCTTTGCAGAGCTGCTCCCACCTTAGCAATGCGACGTGCATGCATTTTTCGATGATGAACGCGTGTTTTTCTTATACAAAGTTCCCCCGGGGGGCCATAACTATTGTCTTCAAGTGAGCTGTAATGGGCTGTCAGGCGCTGGGCTGTCTCAAACCCCAGGCCGGCAATCTCCTGCAGCTGCCCGAGCGTTCCCAGGCCCTGGCCGCCCCGGGCGTGAGCGGTGGCCAGCTCACCGGAAAACGGTCCTCGAGCACGCTGGCCCGGCGCCGGCCGCACCTGGACACGTGCAACCCGGACACAAAACGGGGGGAGCTGGCGGGACGGGGCCGACCACTCAGTCCAGCAACGTGTGTGTGCGTATGTGGGGACACATAGGGAAATGGCCCCCATCTGCTCCCCTGAGCTCAGGGCGCGGGCGGCTGCCTGGTGGGATGAGGGAGAGAAAAAGGACAGCTTGGGCACCTTGTGACTCGGGAAGAGGGACCCGCAGGGGCTGTGGGCACACGGGGGACCTCAGGGCGCGCGTGGGATAACGTGGGTCCTTGCAGGAACCCATGGGTCAGAGAAGGGAGCTGGGGGCTCACGCCAGGAACACGGGCTCAGTGGGGACGGTGGGTGGGAGGGCCAAGGAGCCCCCACCTCGCCCCAAAGGCAAGGCCACCCAGAGCAGCCTGGACGGGCAGGACCCGCCTGGGCGGGGTGGACCGCACAACCTCCCAACATCCCAGCATCTCTGGGAGTCCCAGCTCCAGGCTGGAGCCAGGGTAGGAAGACGGGATGCTAGGTCTCAGCCTGGGGCCTTGGAGGAAGCAAGAGGCCTCAGGAGGCGGCCCCCAGGGTGGGAGTGGGCCTGCCCGAGGCCAGAGTTGCGGCCCTTGACCCTGCCCGCAGATGCCCCTCACACCCCCAGCCCCACTTGAACCCCTCTGGACCGAGGCAGTCCTAACTCTGGCCTTGGTCTCCCCGCAGAAACAGCCCGCCACCATGTCGGACGAGGAAGTGTGAGTAGTGGTCAGAGAGCGCCCCCCCCCCCGGCCTGCCTGGGGACCCCGGGCCCTGACTATGTTGGTGAGAACCCCCCTGAGCTGAGCGAAAGCCCTCACGCTCTGCCCCTCTCTCTCCCCACAGTGAACAGGTGGAGGGTAAGTGTCCTGCTGCTTCCTCCCTGCACGGCCCCTGGGGACATGCGTGTCTTGAGGCGGGGCTCCCCTGGGGACCCCTGCCTGCAAGCCCCAGATTGGCCTCGTTCCGTGGGCCCTGGATCACCCCCCTGCCTGCACCGAGGCCTCCTCCTTCTGAACGGTGACGTCCTCGAGATGTGGGCCCTTCCGAACCCAGCCTGCACCCCACCCAGCCTGCACCCCAAGGCAGTTGGGCAGCCCGGCCCCAGGGAGCTCTGCAGGTCCCACCACTCTCTGCCATACCCCCCAGTGGGACAGAGATGCCCAGGCTCCCGGGCCCCCCAAAAGCCACTGTCACCCCCAGAGCCGACTCCTCCTCTGGGGCCCGGCCAGCCCTGGGGTCACCCCGCTAACAGGCTCCTGTCCTTTCTTCTCCCCATTGCAGAGCAGTACGAGGAGGAAGGTGAGTGCATAGCCCCCGGAGGCCCCACCCAGGCCTCCCCCTGAACGCGACCTCTCATCCGCTCCATCCGCTCGGCCTGAGGACCCTCGGGCCCCTTGGAGCCCAACAATTAGCCATCCTCCTTCCTCGCCATTAATTCCCATTTGCGGTCACAGCTGACTTCCCATCTCTTTAACTGATTAATAGACGCACACGCATTAATCATTCATTAATCCTTCACCCTCATCGCGCCCGGCTGTGTGCAGTTAGCTGGGACTCGGCCATTAACACCCTCACCTTCGTTAATATTCAGGGTCTGCATCGCAGGCCCGGCCCTCTGTCCCTCCGTCTCCAGCTCGCTCTGGCTCAGCGCCCCTTCCCCCACCCCATGCCGTGGGTAACCTTCGGGGCATCCTCTGGAGCCCCCTCCCTCGCCTGCC